CCCTCAATGCCCTGATGACCTAATTTGGAGTTAAGTTGCAGTTCTATCCTGGCTTGGTTGACTGAAATTATTCTACAAACCGTCCGATTCCCTTGGCTCAACAAGTCCACTGCACTTTTTCCTAAGGTGTCTATCCAGTCGACCTATTGTTTCTGCAATTTTTTCCGTGATTTTCTGTGCTTTTGCTCAAAAGTATCATCCCCTTCACAACGTCCATTCAGTGTTGACGAATTTACTTTAAAGTCATCACTTTTGGGGTTCCATGGCCTCTAACATCCAATACAACCTTCGTATATGTATCTAGCCAGTACGACTCGTCTGCTCAGCTCTCCCTTATTTTTGCGCAATACGACACGTCTGCGGGAGTTCATGTGTAACAAAAGTAATAAAAATAAAGTAAGTAAGAATAAAGTAATCATTCAGTTGCAGTTCCGTGCCACAAAGAGGAGCGCGAGGGTCGAGAGTCTGCTCGGTTCTAGAGAAGATCACTAGGGGTGGGCGTAAAACCGCCGACCCGCCAATCAATCTCCTGTCTTCAGCACGTCAGTTATGCCAGTTAACCTGCAGCCAATTCACATTTCGCTTGTCCCGGAAACATTGGCTGAGGCAAACATCATATTACTGCTAACGGTGTTCTAGTCATCCTCGAGAGCTGTAGATTTTAGGTAATTTTTCTTTAGGACACAAAGAACAGCGCGAGCAATTTGCGCACCGAGTGGAATGGAGCAACCCGTCATTGGAGGGAATTCTAAAATGTGCTTTAATTTGCCATCCTGGTGAAGCAGACCAGTATACACGAGAGACTAATCTGGGTTCCGTCGAGTACACCGTGAAACGAAGTTAATGTGAAAATGAGAGTATTTGTATTCATCGGGAAGTTCAGTTTCCTGGAGGTAACTATAGGATGCCCGAAACCACGGAGACCATAAATCTCCATTAAATCTGAATGGGGAAGCCGGCAAGCATTCACACCTGTCAATAATTCAATCAGGTCATCAAACGTCGATGAGGTTCATGCACGTCGCAGAAGTCGACAAAATGTGATGAGCACGTATGCATCTCATAAAATCACGATCGATGTTTCTGGGTGTTCACTAAGCGCCCAGTAGACAGCCTGAGTCAGTGTCAGATAGTGCCTTTTAAATAGCCCAGGGCTGTTGTAACATTGCAACCGCACGCGCTCAATCACTTGTTGGGAATATAGCTGTTTTCTTTTTCACTAAGTTCTTTCTGGCACCGGGAATTTGAGTTAGGGCAGCCGTTTATATAACATTATCATTCCTTTATTCGCTCCCAAAACGAAGTGTAGGTTATAAGTGCCCCCGGTTAGTGACGAAAAGCTGTATCAAACGATCGCTAAATTCTCTATGTAAAGGAACATCTCAGATGGCCGTCTGAGTTTCAAAGTTGGCGAGATGCAAAGCCTCTTTATGTTTTGTTTGTATGCCCTAAAATGCCAGTGTATCGCCCGGATGAAACACATTTCTTACATTAGGCGAAAATGATAGCGCCGAAACCATACTATTTTGACTGAATTGATAATGGTGCTGGATGGACGTCAGCCCCGTCCCACGGGCACAAACATAGACAAGTTGATGATCAGGTTGTCAGGCCGTTAGGAGTACAACTGCGAAAACAGGCGATTCCAAATGACTGCTTGCCTTTCTTCTGGGTAGAAGTACAGACATTGTGCAACTTAACATCCTTTGAGGTTGCAAGCGACTGTGTGAGAACTAATTCAAGATCTATGAAGGCAAGTCTGACAATACGTTTCTGATCCGCCCAGAATGAAAAGTGAGTAAAAGTAGAGTGAAAAATGGTGAACAAATAGATTGAAATTTGAGCAGAGTGTTGGATTCGACAGATGGACACAAAACTGTCATACATGTGTCCATTTACTGGCCCATTTTTATTTGTATTGTGCATCTGATGTGCGATGTTACGTCAGATTTGTGAAAGCGCCCTGAGTCCACAAGGACCAAGAAAATGCAAAGTGAGTAAAAGTAGAGTGAAAAATGGTGAACAAATAGATTGAAATTTGAGCAGAGTGTTGGATTCGACAGATGGACACAAAACTGTCATACATGTGTCCATTTACTGGCCCATTTTTATTTGTATTGTGCATCTGATGTGCGATGTTACGTCAGATTTGTGAAAGCGCCCTGAGTCCACAAGGACCAAGAATGCGGACGGTTTTGGCTAATTTACTACGGCTTTACCGAACGAATTCCTAACAGCTAATTTGACGGAATAAACAACCCTTTTTTAACGGTGACAGAACAAGATACGGACTAGTTGCAGTTCATTTTATTTTGGTAAAATCACACAACACAATACGTGCTCGTTAGGAACAGACGTTCTGGACAGACTCGATGAGGGTTTCGGAATCGTACCCGGCTTTGCAAAGCTCCATTAGATGAGCTGTTTGCTTAGCTACCTCGGAGACATGAAGACAGATTGATAGCAGAATCTCAGCTAGGAAGTCAGTCTAGGCATGAAAACGGAAGACTCACCATGGATGCGATGGACGGAGGATAATACGTGCCCAACACAGGTGCGAACTAATGTCTAGAAATGCACTCAATCAATCGGCAAATTGTTCACGCAAGATTCTTCTTGACGTCCACCAACAGAATCCAGCATTCTCGAGAAAATGTGGTCATTATTCCAAAGTATGTGGAAGATTGTTTGTGGAGCATACTGAAGGCCGAGTCAGTGGTGTGCCGGCGAATCAAAAACATATATATGCGAGGTGTTACTGAGTATCGGCGTACGTGAGTTTTTGGCAATTCGAAGCTGTCTGATATGAAATACTTCGGTATCAATGGGGGAAACGCGAAAGTTTCCAGCTACGTAGCAGATGAGTGAAGCTCTGCGATCTCTGAAACAAAACACGAAGTACTACTTTGACCGATTTTGCCCGTCGGGTAGTCTCAGTATCCGAGTTTCTGTCAACCTCACATTATACTTGAGCCCAAATTGGACTGAATTTAACGATTGCTGCCTGCCACTTCGCCTCCAACAGCAGACACAAATGAATCAACTTCAATCTGGCCAATGATTATTCGCCTCAACTGAACACACAACTGAACGCAAGGTTGATGGAAACCCGGGAGGTACGTCCACATGGTGATCACGAATAAAAAGAAGAGTGGTCGCGATCTGTCTAAACTCTCTGAGTAGTTCAGATTATGTTGATAATAATGTTGCAACATATATCCACCGTAAATGTGCAGGAAGAGCAACAGGTTGGGAAGGATTTTTGTGAATTTTGAAAGCAATCAGACAACTCGGTTTGTTGATAACCACCCGAAGTTATATAAGTTAGTCAGCCGTACAAGGGTTCCTTTTGATTAAACATCCTACGTCATCACATCAAGCTGTATGAAATCAGACGAAATGACGAGATGTCTCTGCGTTTGAATGGACACCCTCCGTACAGAATCGTTTTCGAGGGTCCCAAAAGGCCCACTTATACGAAGGACTAGCCTCGATTCGCGCAAGTTCTTACTTATTGTTGTTTGAAATTATTGATTCGTAATTTTGTCGTTGGACAGTTATCTTAAGTCAAGCATGTTTAGAGATAAAGGGTTTTCCGGTGAGCAATCAAGTGAGGGTAAACTGTGTGCGCTGAATGAGTGTAACACGTGATTCAACAATGAATAATCATCCATTTACGCGATCGATTCCAAAAAAACGGGGGGGGGGGCGAATATCAACTAGCCACAAGCAAGTTTGATTATTAAGCCCTCGGTGGTTTGAAAAAAAGCGAATCTGACACCTCATTAGTAAAGGTTTAGTACAAGAGATAACGAATAATCCTGCGGATAACGGACAGTGTGTAGACTCAACACTGGTATAGTATGCTTTTCCGTCGGACAAAGAGAGCGATGAAGCTTGTCGTTGCGTGTTTGTATTTGATCAGTCCTAAGTAATAAAAAAACTCGCAGCATTACTCCTCCACCAAAACTGGTGTAGAGGATCACAATACCGTCAGTGCAGATGGTAGGACCCGAGTGAGTCCGACGGTACAGTTAGCATCCGTGACCTTCGCAGTAAACTACTTGCAGGGGGAATCGAAGGAATTTTCTGTAAGGTGGCTCTTCTTGTGAATTATTGAAGCGGATTAATAACACAGTATGCGGCTTAACCACGGGTTACATCAACAGACCTCTGAGAATGTTTTTAAAACATTGAAGCCACTACAGACACAGAATGTGAAACAGTGATTCTGAAATGAGCTGACAGGAGATCATCAATTATAAGTATAATTTTGGTGCTGTTGCTGATTCAGTGAACCGGTGTTCAAAGGTCAGTTTGTTCGCTGAAAGTCCCTAGAAATTGTGAGTTTCAAATAACAATACTCATAATTTTAGCGAGGATGCCTGGCCAAATGTTGCTTCATTACATTCCTTAGTGATGCTGAACACGGATTAATTTGGAAATTAGGGCACCACTTCGCGACTGTTCCTTGTTACTTGCGATCTAAATTAATTACCTCGTCATAGTGACGGGATATTGTGTATAAGATTCGGTTCCCAGTGGGTAATCAGTGCCACAATGGTCGGGGGGTTCAGTCGGATGACCTGAGACACCGAACTGAACTGAGCAAAAATTAACTGAAAAGAACTGCACTGAAGTTCACTGAACTGAACTGAACTGAACTGAACCGAACCGAACTGAACTGAACTGAACTGAACTGAACTGAACTGAACTGAACTGAACTAAACTGAACTGAACTGAACTGAAGTGAACTGAACTGAACTGAACTGAACTGAAAACTCCTCACTGTTCATTTTCCATGAGTCGCCCCTGCTATAACGGGCTTGCTCATTAATTCCACAAGAGTGATTTAATTTTCTATTAATTTATACACATTTTTGCACGTTTTTATCGTGAATCACGAGACACACTCACCTGTTTAATTGTGAAGCAGTGCATCCGGAATTGATCGAATACTGCTTTGAAACACGAGATCTCATTCCTCTTGGACAACTCGTTTACGTTGGCTTGTAGTTGGTCGTCACATCCATGATGATGTCATGAAACGTTTCCTTGACGATGTGTCCAAGCTGAAAGTAGCCAGAAGTATGGTTGCGGGGAATTTTTTCTTGCACATCTAAACGACATGTCGATTCCTACCTAAAATAAGCTTTTATCGTGCTTTCAGATACATTCCCGCGATTAGTTGTTTGGGAAAAAACCACGAACCTGAAGCGCTCAGCATAGTTTCCGCCAAGCGGTTTCATGTTCTTCCTCTGTTGTCGACTCCATCAGATTTCGTGACATTGAGAACAAATGAACCCGCGAAGGCGGTTTTCATTTCATGAAATCCACTGAATATATGAAACGTGGCCTCAACTCTCATGCGTAGTTTTTTTATGCCACGAACACATCAAACAACCTCGTTGACGAAACAATACCCAGATTGCAGAACTAGCTGGTACCTGGAAGATTTCAGCTGATTATTTCCTAGCACTGTTATGAATAACTGTTTCATCAAATGCGTAACACGAATAATTCCAATCGCTCTCATGCATGTCTGCTACATGGCCGCCATCTGCTTGATTAATTCTGCCCGTGATACAGACAATCTTCAGACGCTTTACCTGGATGATCCATTTTTGCTTGATGCCGTGGGTTTCACAAGACTGTTCGATATCTGTCTATTTATTTTTCTTCATACTTTCATCCTCGCTAACCATCTGCCTTCCGAACGATCCGCCAGTCAGTCAGTCAGTTTGTCTGTCTGTCTGTCTGTCTGTCTGTCTGTCTCTCTATCGGTCTGTCTGTTTGTTTGTCTATATGGATGCATGGAGGTGTGTCTATATATGCTTTTCTATCAGGGAAGGTAATGAATATCTAGCATTTCGCGGCTGTCCCCTCCGAAATGCACCCAGCGCTCATGTAATACCCAGACCGGGTAATATATAGTTCATATTATTTCGCTAACCGCCCTTGTTCTCAGTATTAAGCCATGGGTAGTTCTTCGGTAGCCGAAGTTAGCAACATGTCTCAAGAACCTATCCGTCCAAATAAAATGGACAAAACTGGAAAATGGCGGTAAACTTGAGATACCAGCGTTAACAACGGTTTGTGTTGTGCTGTAGAGAGCTTGATCCGTTCTTAGATTGTAGGTAAAAATAGATGTCTGTTCCTCACTGGAACGCTTTTGCCAGTGGACGTCCGCATCTGCAGTTTGAGCAGTGCTGTCCATTCACCTGTATAAGTTAACTGTTGAGAAAATCGTGTTTTATCGCTGCAAAGAGCAATACTAATTCATGACTAACGAGTAAACCAGCATTGAGTGATCCAATGAACAATTCAAATTTCAAATATTGTGCTGAAAACATACTGCTACTTCCTCGCCATTTCGATGCATCAGAAGATCATAATGACCTTGGAATTTGCCAACTGGGAGACTTCCGATCACCTGGATTAAAACAATAAATAGACGCTTATTAGTGCACTACCAGCTAAGTTGTTATCGGATTCCTTAAAATAAAGAACTGATTTGGCCTTCAAACCTAGGTCTACACTTTATCGCTCACTTGTTCTTGTTGGAGGATCTAGTTGGCAATAAACGTCACCCGCGATCCCGTCTCTCGGACGGCAATGGTGTCCACCGAAGCACTAGCAGTATCGCCTGAGTTTGCTCATAATCACACCAACTAATTTTCTGCGGATCAGACCGAAGGGCAGTGTCCAATTTCTCATATGCTTTTCGAAAGAAGACTTGTTACTACTCACTGTGTCACCGTTTTCAGAAGTTGCAAGCATTATTTGGATGTTCAGATCATGCTTTTCAACCCACTTAGGACGAAAATTGAACAAACTTATAGCAACAATATTTGTGATTACAGCATGTCTTGTAACCACGATCTATTCGTTGCGAACTACCAATTAGTTCTGCATCACTCATGTTTGCATGAAAATGGAATTTAGGTTGCCACAAAGCCTGAAAATCAGTTTAAATGAGCTAGATAGTTTGTTAACGACGTTATCAAATAGTATAGTTTAAACTCGAGTCACACCACAGTGAGTCTGTGACGTTTTTGTCTCGATCTTTTATACAAGTTTTATTGTTCACTTTCGCTTTTTCCTGACAAGCAGAAACTTCTTAGTTGAATGGATACTTCATCCTGTAAACGGAGCCAATCTAGGCTGGAAAACCAGGAAGCAATTTTTGGCTGCTTCATCTTTATTAGGAGTCAGAAGCAGCGTGTATATGACTCTGGTAGAGAACGACGAACCGGTGACCTTCCGAACAACGGTAGAATCCTTGGGGATTCAACCACAAGGGATTGATCAACAGTGTGATAATCTTTCACTTAGATGGCACACAGCGTCATTCACCACCCAATCATGCAAAAATACATCACGTATTGGCCACGTATTGACTGGTTCCTCGAGTGGTAAGTTCCCAGATGGAAGTTTCGCTCATCGTGTAAATCTATCCTTACTCCGAGTAACCTTTGGATGATTCTCTCGGATTTGCTTTTTTTGTTCAGAACGTTATATGGCACAAGGTACACAGTGTCATTACTCGGTTATCCAAAAGTGACGCTGGCCAAGCTTGCACATCGAGGTACCCGAGCCAGCTGCCTTGCTGAACTTAGTTTATGGAATCTGAAGTCCGTAATCAGCTGCCAATTTTCACTAATAACTAAAGAAAAATGTCCACTTGTAAGTTGCACTCATTTTCATAACAGTTTGGATTTTCACACGTAACTCAACTGGATATCCCCGTGAAAGTTTGTGACTCACCATCTCACCATACCTCGACCTGTGACCATTTTTGTCCGTTCTTTCACCTCCTCGTACTATTGATCCAGTGTACGCGTTTTGATGTCCTTCTGAGCACCTGCGAGAGACGGAAACACAGGGAGGCTACGGGCAGTATGCGGATCAGCGTACTCAACTTTAAGACGAATCCAATGTGGCGAAACCAGTAAAACCACTAGAGATACGACATCATTGTGAGTATCCCCAGCGAATTTCTAATGTCTATTGCTGGAAATTTTGCGCTCGTGTCATTTTTTCAGGTGTCTTTGCGCGCGTAACAAATGGCCCAGCCATCTCGGTTAATAAAACCATCACAAAGCTAATCCAACCGAGCTATGGACGACTTATACTATTGATGAATCACAGAGTACTTCGCTGAGCGACAATGAACGACAATGAACTTAGTAAAATAAAATCTATGTGACGTTATCCATAAAACATCTCGAAGTGAGCCACGCAGATGGAGAGAGAGACGTCCGACCGTCGTGTTTTGTGTTCCCATTTTTGGTTGACGTGTGGCCCATTTTTAAAGAAAAACTCTTTTGTTAGGAATTGCCGATAAATATTCGCTAACATATGTCTATCGGTGCCTTTCTGACTTTCACTAAAAGCTGTGTTATAAACGCGGTTAGCAACATTAACGAAACTTACATCCATACGTGGAAAGGAAATCTCGTGAGCCGCACCATGGCCAGTGCAATAGAAGAACGCGTAGTCATCTCGACCGCTGTCAGTGAACAGGAGGGTTAAGGTGGTCTTGAAGAGTAGCGTATTAAGTGGCGATCCCAGGCATAGCAAAGCACAACAAAAAAGCCGCGGAATTCGAAATTCATAAATAACATTCGCCAATAACGTAAGTTTCGTCTCACGTTGCAGAAGCCAAGTTTATGTAATCCGCCTTGGATTACCGAACAATGGGTAATCAGATTGGTGAAAGTTTCACGTTTTTTTTCCATGACCAAATTATATGACTTCGTCCAGCTTTGAGTAGTTTATACTTGCAGTTCCTAAATGGCTTTTCTGTTAAACATTTCACACAAATGTAGTGGAAGGATAACGAACACCCAGGTCGTAATATCTCTTTGTACACCCTACTAGATATAATGAGTGGTTTCAGTAACAGCTACTCGACTACTGTTTGCATGGTCACATGAGAATGAAAATGGAAATTCGGAAGTCTGTTTGTTTATTTTTGTATCAAGGGATATAGTAGCTCTTGTGGTTCTGAATGCACGAAGATTATACCAGGCAGTTTCCACATTCGCTAGTTTGATCATGCCGCCATTGGGACGGTCACACTCAGCTCTTTCGAAATCACGCTCTTTGTAGTATAATTAGATGCGTTCGGCGAAGTATTCACATAATGTATACAACATTGAGAAACAATACCAAAATGAAAGTTAGGGGAACATATGATTAGAACACGGACATTCAAGAAGCCGTATATTTTTTATCCAAAACTGATCTTGAAACGCACCGTTCGTTGGTCATTGAACAAGAAAATTTTCAAATGTTCTTTCTTATGGTGATCAGCTTGGAAGTGTTTCGTCACTAGACGAAGTGACATCTTTCGTGAATGATTGGATCGACAGTTCCTCCCTACCTGTCTGATATTATAGGCCTGTGACCGGTTGACGGAGGCTTCCGTTGACTGGTTCCTTGGATCGACAGTTCCTCCCTACCTGTCTGATATTATAGGCCTGTGACCGGTTGACGGGAGCATACCGTGCACTGGTTCCTATCGGTCCGTTCATAGTTGCACTGGGTTGTCGCTTTGTTCCCATAATATGATCCACGGCACATTCTGTGTGAAAATTTAGTTGCTGCCTATGGTCTGCAGAATTCGTTAGGTGCCCTAGGTAGGTTCTGTCTGAGAACCTCTTGTTCATTGTCACATCTACCGGGTACCGAGTTCTGTCGTGGTGCAGTCTATCTATATTAAATTCGATTCGTCGTCACTCAGAATTCTAGTTTCAATAGTTCGTTTTAATTGCTTCTTTCTTAATTCCTGTTGTGTTGTGGCCTGGTTTTTAAAGTTTCATTGTTTGGATGCACTTTCCATCGGTGAAGCTGCTTTTTAACGTCCAGGAAGTGTATCGCTTTTGATGACCTATTCCAATGTCTATATATCTCTTTTTCTATCCGAAATACCTACATGTGTGATTGGAAACACTGATCTTGGTCATTTCGGGAATAGAAATTATTTAGTCCAACTTGCGGTTTATTCAGTTATTAGATCAGTTAAGGAATCCGGCAAATGACACAAAACATTTTTTAAATATGGCCAACGAAATATTTCCCATGAAATTGTGATTTCCCGGTAGTAGTAGCAGCAGTAGTAGTAGTTTCCCGGTAAATCAGGATATACTATACGTGACAGGTAGCAAAACCTTGATATTCAAGGCGACAGCCAATAAAGTGCTAATGAACTATTACCACTTAGCGGGAGAGTTTAGAAATGCGCGTGCCAGACTGAGTTCACCGGAAGGATGGATCCAGGATTGTGAAGACTGACGAAGCCTCAAAATAAACCCAAATGCACAGCTATAAAATGCCGACCGATCAGAGCAGGATGCACTAATTTTCGGAACCAACCCTGAATGAGATCAGACCACCAACTAGCACAAAGCACTTGAAGAACCCCGACAATCCGTGCTTACGAAAACTGTTGAATTCAGGGTGTTTCTACGTAACTGCAAATAAAATAGATCGATTTGCGGGAACTAGCAATATACAAAGAAACATCCATCTCGAGTCCCCTACGAAGCGTCGATTAATCAGAAAATACACACCAAGAGCGGATGATTACGAATTGCGCAGCAGTTCCAATCCCAAACAGTGAAAAACTGCCAGAATGAGGCATTAGTAGTTTGCACGTTAATAAACTGTCTGGTTTCCTGGATTATCTCTGTATGCTGGCCCTTCCCTTCTAGTCATAGGCAGGTGAAGATAGCGTTGCGGGACTCTAGAAAGTACACCGGGACTCGAGACAGGTATTCCAAAAGCTGAGAGTAATATTGGTGGATGGCGACACGGATTCAGAGGAATGTTATACAACCAGTCGAAAATCAGCATTGATCATTTGTTTTGGTCTTCAGGTTGAGTTGAAACATCCCTTGAAACGAACCACACCAGGATCGACCAACCCCAATTTGTACGAGTTCGAGCACATACTTGATCATGCACAACTGAGCATATCTGAATATTTATGAAACTTTTTGACATTATCGATTGACAATTTATTATGATTTAATGTTTTATGATTTAATATGATTCAATATTAACTCATAGTCTGAAATTGATAAACCGGATTTTCAATGGAGTAGAGCAAATTTTCTGCCTGACATCTGAAAGCTCTACCTGAGGAGATTATGTACACACTAGGCACACAATTTGTAAATTCAGAACTAGAACAAGAAATACTGTTTTCTGGCTGTGATAAGCAAGTGCATCAAGAATGTCAACTTCCGTGCAGACTCACCTTTTCAGCACGTTCTTTCCTCGCCTGTCAAATCCCTTATCGCCTTTCAGTACTTTCTCGAACGTATTCGGATTGACATCCTTAAACACATAAACACATGCTCCATCATTCCTGTGACAATGGAGTCTTCTGCAATTATTACATTCATGCTAACCATTCGTCTGCCGTTACCAAATAATTTATATCTATCATCTAAACCCCATCATTACTTCAATTAATTTCACAACGTTCGCAGAATGCTGGAAAAAAATTAACTGTTAATATGATTGTAGAGCATGGCAGTTGGATCGCGTAGCTTGCCGGTATTAGCATGAAGACGGACTCAGATGGGAGCCAATAGCCACTGTTTGCCAATAGCGCATCCAGGAGGCGCCAAAATTTCCAGAAGATTGTCGCCACTTACACTCGATAAACGACATGCGGCACAAATTGCGGGCACTGATACACGCTGGGGGTTCTCTTGAAAAGAACGCTAGCTTGGAAGTCTCAAATCAAGAATTTCGCTTCAAAACTGGCGTTAATACATGAAAGCCCACCCGATGGCCCAGAAGCAAAGTTTAAATTTGGTCGTGGACTGTTCGAGTTTTCTCTATGATCTTACGATTAGTGTTCGCTCTAGGAAATATAATATGATGTATTATAAAAAACAGATCAGTCTACCTTATGCCTGATATTGTGCTTTCATACCCAGGGTCGTGTGACTTGCGCCTTATGTTAAACGGTGAAATGATGGAGAAATCCATCCGGCTGCTGCGAACCGGTACAAGGACATACCCTTCCACGGTAGTCAATTACCACACCCTCATAGACATCTTCGTGCTCGCAGTCATGGAACACTTTGCCGTTAAACGGATTTCTGGATTAAGAAAACGAACGCTGGTATTTGGGTATTCGGAGATATTAAATTGTAGATAAAATAAAAAGAAGTGGAAACTCGTAAATTCTGTTTTCTGTTGGTTCCAAGGTTTGATAATCAATAAATATTCAAGACGATGAGTGCACCTTGTGGCATGCTTCCGATGACATACGATTCTCAAAGCAGTGATGATGTAGAGATCCGGGTGGGGTGGCGGTGATTAAACAAGAAACACAGAAAAAATGTTTAAAATGTATTTGTTTTATTTATGGGTACAGCCAAACACCACCAGTAGTAGATTTCACTAGCACCTTCTCACCCAGTGCCTTGCATGAAATACGAGTGAGCAATAAACGACTTGCGAGTATTACAATCTCCAAGCAAGAACCAAGTTTTCAAGTTTTTATAAGTTTACCCAACTAATCCTAGCGATCGCATTTATTACAAACTGCTAAGATTACTAGATTGTCTGCTTAATACTCACTCAAAATCATCAGGCGGCTGATTCACTCAAACGATATCTAGATGTCAGTGCTGTTAGTTTCAGACTACTGATAAATGGAAAGAAGTTAAAAGGTGCAATCCACTAGTGAGGACTAACCAAAATAGTGGCAATTTGATGATAAACAGACTGTGCTGGTTGCTTTGTGGTTCTGTGACATTCACAGTCATGAAATTTTATGGAAGGAAAGGAGAACACAAAAATGTTCGCGATATTTACTTGCGATTGTTTGCGATATCGTCGACGGCGATGGTAATTATATTCTCCGGTGGAACATTGTTTGCACGTACGACTTGATAGGCGTGGTAAACGTTCGCCTAAGTGAGAATGAAAATTACAGACATATTGAGGTTGAATCAATATAGAGTGAGGCAGAGAGGCTCAAGAAGGCAAGCAGTGCCCAGAATCCCTCATGCTTGTTGGAGTCTCGGCTCTCGCGAAAGCACTTGGATGCATCACATCTGTCCAAAAAATTAAATGTAACTTACTCACGTGTGTTTTCGTTGAGTTATTGCTTGAATTTGGGCCTTGTCAGCTGACTAATCAGATGTTTGGCTACCACGTAGCGGAAATAAATCGCCAGTAGCCTAGTGCTGTTTGGTGTTTGAAATTTTTCAGGTTTTGCAAAAAAAATTAGGCCCAGCCTCAGGGCAACGCCAAATGGCACTATACAGCCGGTTCATTCTAGTTGAGAAATGTCTGTTGTGCGCATTCAAGGATTCCCGTAGAGAATGGAACCGGCATACTCTCCACTATTAAATGAAGACTAATCCATTTTGCCACGAGTAGCTGACCAGTGGTGCGATTATCTAGGGCTCCACCCTACTTGGGAAATTGGTTAGACGTTTTTTTTCCAGAAACCGAATGTGCCAAATCCAAGTTTGTTGTCAGCACAGTATCGCTGCATTACAATTATCATGGGTATCACATCAGCCACCCTTCCACAGAATGCTTTCAAGATAAAGCCCGGGAATGCTTCTCACACGACATTGCGAAGAACGAACATACTGCCTCATTTTGCATTGAAAATGTAGAAAATGGGTGCAGGCTATTTAGCTTGAAAACGGATTTATGATTCCTTCGGAAAGGAAAGAATGAGTGTTCCTTATTTATTATTACTCCATTGCGCACAGATCTCCGATTGCGCTGTTAATTTTTGGAGGATTTATTAGTAATATGAAGATATATGACCCCTTGTGGTTATGGAAAAACGCAAACAGGTAAATTTCCAAGTCCCACCGTGAAATTGCATTCGCCGTATGGATGCGTCATCCTCGGAGTTTTCATTGACCAGATTTTCATCCATCCACGAGGTTGGTCATTGCTTAACCAGCTATGTGTCTACGATCTCCCTATTGACTATGAATTGAACCCTACGTCTTGACCTTGGACTATATATCATCCACGATCCTTCTAGATGAAAGAAACTCCCGGAAGAATCCCGAAAACTTACCCCCTTCCCCTGTAGTCATTTTTGTCACTCGAAATGAAAATGTACTCTACATGTGTCTATAGAAGAGAAATTGGACCCCAGAGGGGCCCTACGATTTGAGCTGTGTATACGTGACACTCACAGAGCTCCTCATGCCAGGATAGTCTACGGCTAGACCTCGAACAGTTTGGTGGCGGGAACTATTATACTGACTGTCTGCACAATCCACCATCAATTTGGAAACCCACAAGTTCTAATAGGCTCCTGGGATAAAGGCATTCCTCGGCGACAACAAATGGCCTGCTTTCTATTTTGGGGTGTCCGGCTGTAACGAAAGACACTGGTGAGCAACGCGAGCACCCTGCAGTCTTCTCGAAGCTCCGATCCGTGCTAAATGGGAGGTGAGCTTCACTACGTATTCGTTTACAATAGCAGTAATATTCCGCGAATAGCCATAAAAATCGAAAATGCTTCCTCAGAATATTCGTCTTTAGAAAACTATGAGCAAATGAGACGGTTATTTTCCTGTTCAATAGATTGTAGCTTCTTAGTTGATGTTTGCTAATAAATGAATTCGCGGTGAAGGGGTTTCCTCCTTGAACTCGTAGTATCACAATCCGATTTCAAACATGCAATACACGCTTATAATAATCTCATGTCACATCGACCGCAATTGGTGTCGTCAACCCGGTCGCCTTTTCTTCTGCACATCGCGAGGTGAATTAGAGAAAACGGGGTACAATTTAAAACTTCCTTTCTTCTTTTTCTTTACTAGATACGGCATTGGCAATTTCTTCCTTTGCCTTATATTGTCGCAACTGCAATATGCGCGGTCGAGTCGGTTTGCACTTGCTTTTACTTGCGCGCCTCAGATGATCTGGAAGCCGCGGCTGGTTGTTCTACTAGAGCTGAGACATCTTTGTGAAGAAGGATCAGATACCTGTTTGTTGCTGGCGCAAGTGCTGGATCTCGGACATCACTCTTTAGAAGCTGGGGGAAGCTGTCCTCCAGATAGGGGAATAAACGTCACTCAGCGAACAGCCAATCTTCTAGCAAAAAGAGTTTGGTCAGAGAACAGCGCCTGCGTTGGTTGCGAACCTTTGTGGGCTGAAGAGGTGCAGAAAGCAAGAACCTCTTGGGTTTCGTTCTCCTCGTGCCAGTCCAAAGGTTGACTCTCATGGGCCTAGAAATCATGGGAAAACATGACAACATTTGGGAGTAAAAATTTAAAACAGCTAATCGAATGATAACCTGCAGCTTCTCACCTGGAGTCCTGAGACGGTGGATGGAAATCCGGAGAGTGAAAATAAATAGCCACAATTCTTTGTTCAAGTGTCATCAAGCTACTAGTTCTGGCCAACTCCAAATCACAAGGCTCAAATATAGCGCTGAAATAACTTTTCGTTGTTCATCCAGTTAATTTGCTTTCCCTTAGGGAAAAAATTGCCTTAGCAAGCCGAGTCAGCTTGATGGGGAACAAAGTGGGTATAGCAATCTCCGAGGAAGTGGCTTGACGTCCGTTGTGACCCGAATTTATCCTGAGCCTACATTCTGTCGTTTCACAAAGGAATTTGAAGACAAGACCCTAAAACAGGAGGCGGGATTCCAGGCTAGAAGGGGTTGTATGAACCACAACTTCACATTTCCTGCAGTGTCGGAACAACTGCATGCATACAGGAGCCCCACAATTTCGTTATCCCTTGAATTGGATAATAACAAACTGGATTCTGTCGTTCGTTTTTACACTAAAGAAACAATCACATTGAAGTTAGGATAATGGCAATCAAATATGAACCGCGGACACTTTAGAATGCATACAGACACATTCATGTCACCTTGCCTTTTTGCATTCTCTTCTCCTATAATCCCATGCAACGCCTCCATGAACGGACGAGTGAATTTAACAGCGTGGTCTACTTACTCGATATTTTATAGTAGTATCTAATTGTTTGCTCACGTTGCTCAGTAATCCTGGAATGGATTCGTTTCGGGGTAACAACAAATGTCGTAGCAACGTTAGTAGTCTTTGATGAGATTTCTGTGACCTCCTTGAGTCAGCAGGCCACTACAAGCTAAGGAACTGCGGAATCCGGGAGTGCTTCTCTAATATGACGAAGCTACAAAGCAAGCAGTTGGTGGCTTCCTGATCGCCGAATTCCCAAATTTCCTTCTTCTAGGAGGCAGTGATTTCACTTAGGATAAACCAACATGGAACGCTTATGAGTGACGATTTGTCTCCGAATAAAGTGAATCAAGGTATGCACTTCAGAGTATCTTAGTTGAATAGGAGGGAGATTATTGAAGTACTGTGGAAAGCGAACAAAGACCAATAAATGTGTCCAGTAGTGCTGACTTTTATTCACTGACATCTCCAGTGAAACGTCGCAGCCATGAAGGAAAATAAGTAGGAATCAACTGTTTGGGAGGCTATTTCTTCAAACTTCCACATTNTGAAAATACTTTCGTGTGGACTTGGAATAAAAATTGAAACTCAGACCGATGAAAAAGCAACTGGAACCTACTTGATGTCGATAATTTGTCCACGTGTCAGAGCCCGCCAAAAGGATGACCTAATTCTTTGACGGCTGGTTGTTAAATATCGATCACCAATTGTGGCGACCGATCGATTCCAAGCACGCGACAACGTCGATGCAGAACAAGAGCGCAATAAGAAACGAACAACGACGTTTCATATCGAGATTTACCTGAAGTTCCATCTGTCTGGAATTTTATACTATTTGCCTCCTGTAAAACGAAATTTGTCTCACACATATATGGCGACTGTATGAAACAGCGGTACAATGTTTACCCTAATCAACATATGACCAGCCATTTAGATCTCTTAACTCAATGACTGATCACTTGCGGAGATGTTTTACAACAATGTGTGCACCTTCGTTATTTGTGATCTCTCTATGAGAATCGTAGATCGTTTCGTTGAGCGCGGAGAGTACTTAGTCGCAAAATGAGGCTGAAGAATTGTTTTACATAGCGGCTGGCAACAAAAGTACTTTTGCTGATAACTTTCGTCCCTGAGGCATTAAAACGCGATTCACACGGAAAATGTGTATCTGGAAGCTTGCAGGCCAGAATAAAAGTCGACAAAATGACTCAAAATAAAATGAGAACGTTTCAAATGATGGGGATTTTTGGTGTAAAAATTTTTAGAACGGATGCGAAAATGTTCAGAGCTGTTCCTCAAGAACTCTGTGGAACTTTCGTTGGACAAAACCCCCACTAGATCCGCCTGGTGGTCGATCCTTAATTCGCCTGCTGAAGGAACAGGTAAAAGTTGGGCCAAGAACTGATGATCACCAGGGCAATTAGCTACCATTTAGACTGGATAAAGTGCTAATCTTCCTTCAATCACAGAAACTAAATCACATGAACTTAGATTGACGATCATCTCCAGTGTCCACATCTTAGAACGGAGTTTCAATCTTCTTGCGAATCTTTTCTTCTTCCAGGGTACTTATTGATTGTTGGTAGTGTGAATAGGTTCGGTCAGTTCCAGTAGTGAGTTCGTCCAACCGGCGAAGCCAGTCTACACCGCCAAGCTGGGAAGGGTTCACACCTATCGTATTTCACAAATGTCCAGGAAGAGTCAAACCTGCAAATTATCCAAGATCGAACAATTCACTTGGCTGATAATACGTATGCTGATGCCCGCCAAGCTGCTCCCATCTCCATGACTTACTGCCGTAATATTACATTACAGTTTTCGCTCCATTTTTGAGTTGGAGAAAATAGTTAGAGGGTGATGAGACATAATGTAACCATCACTGCAATCATCATCAGGTGCCTATTTCTACAGGCACTTTTCCAGTTAATCTGGAAAAATGGCCGGTATCATCGATCACCAGCCCTGACTTGCATCTTTGCAAA